TCGTCAAAATTCGGAGGCGCCGCAAAATGATTTGGAAACATATCTTTTACAATCTACGTGAGCTGTTCTTTCTAACAGTGCAAGCTTGCATTAATCGAGCTTTCCTATGAAAAGTTATGATTTTCGTGAGAATGCGAAAAAGGCAAAAATGACGTTTTTGTATTTTTTTCGCATTTATCACGAAAATCATAACTTTTCGTACAAAAAGTTCAGTCATTACAAACTCAGCACCATAAGAGAAAACATAATTTAAAATTTTTTCGCGGCGTTTTAATTTTTTTGACAATCTACATGTAATTCCGAAATTTGGGACTTTGAGTGGTTCTCCTATTCAAATTTGTGTCTTTGAAGCCTTTTGACGTCAAAAAGCGGCAAAAAATTAGAAACTAAATGAATTTTTACTACCTGAAGGTGTATTTGTAAAACGATATGATCCTATAGCGAGCAGTTATGAATTTTTCAACATCAAAACGACATTACTTTTGGTTCAACCTAATAACGTGAGCAAAACGGCGGAATTAATGAATTTACTCGACGCTGCTTTCAAGAGACTTGAGCAGATTAGAAGCCAAGAATGTGAATCTGAAACTCAGAAAATCTTTCTTCTAGAAGGGAAAACCGGTGGATCAACATATTGCCGTAGTTGTGAGTAATGGTTCACTCTTCATGGGAAGGCTGACCGCATCGGATGCCGGTTACTATTGGGCGGCCACAAATGATTCAGTAAGAACAGGAGGCTTTGTAAGTGTGAAAACAGAAGAGCTCAGCTTTTCAGCAATATTATTCTTTGCAAAAGCAAAATGAATTACTTTCAGCTTCACCAGGACCCGCCAGCAGATGCCTTTCACGTCAGCATAAGCGTAAACCAGTCTTGCAGTCCTAAAGCCAACCGTGTTAGCCATCTTCTGGGCTCACTGAGAAGGAATTCCGTCCGGGGATGACACATAATATCTAAAATTCAATGTTTGATATGTACAAGCAAAACTGTAATTTATCACGGTTTTTCTATGGGTTAAGTATCCTTGTCCTTTGTAATTTTCTTGTCCTTTATTAGTTAACAGAAGAACAAAAGCTAGTCCAGGCGGAACGTCGACGTCCATATGACGTAAGCGCACGCGACGCGAACGCGACGCGTAATTGGTTGTAGATTCATTGTGTCTGCATTATATCGCTTGAAATTTCCAGTTAAGCTCAGTAAAATATTGTTTATTCATGAAATAATAATTAGCACCTATATACAGACACTGTATTTTAATCATTATGATCAAGTTAAAGGGTTAAATAATGGATTTGTTCCAACTCGTAGTGGAGGTAATGATTTCGGA